TTTTGGCTGCTTCCCTGTGTTTGTTTCTATGTACTGGGTAGCTGCTAAGTCTCCTTGAGTTGATAGAGTGGCCTTGTGTGGTAGGTGTTCTATAGGGCCCAGTGGCTCAGCCTCCCCAGTCACCTGAGGTGGACGCTCTAAGTGCACCCCTCTGTGGGATGTTTGCTCAGTCTTGTTGTAGTTAACCCTTGATTGCTGTTGGTATCACTGACAGGAATTGACCTCCAGGCCAACTGGCTTTGGTGACCAGCTGTGTCTACACTGGAAGATCTGTTGCACAGGAGACACCCTTATGGGGCAGGACTTGCTTCAGTAGGGCTTTGATGCTCACTGAGTCTGCCCCTTGAGTGTGTCTCTTATGGATGTGAAGAGTTGTAATCCATTATCATCTCCAAGGAGGTGCAAGGTCAGCCACTGTCTGGGGCCGCCCAGCAGGAGCTACAGAGACATCTGCAGATTCCTCCTCTTTGTATGGAGTTTGGAAGTGCCCAGCTGTGACACAAGGCTGCTGCTGCTACCAGGTATTGGGCCTTCCTTTGGAATCTCTGGGGCTCTCTGACCCAGCTGCAGTTTGTTTTAGGTGAAAGGACAGGCAATTCATATGCAAAAGCCAATACGCACAGCTTGGGTGGGGTTTAAATTGGGTGGGGCAGGGTCTCTGGGAATCACCAGTTCAGAGCAAACAGCAATGGCTTCCCTGAACCGGAGAAGTCCCTGGTTCTCCGACCCGTGCACCCGTGCAGGAACAATGATTACTTCGAGCACCTCTAAGAGTAAGCCACCCTCATATTCCTGTCCCAATGCCAGACAGTCCAGTTTTTTCCCGTATGTGTCTGGGTCCCCTAGATTCTCGCCTGTAACTGGAATTCAGGGCAAGCGGGAGCTTGCATCTCCCTCCGGGTTTAAAGAACAGCACATCCAGGTGTCAGCATTTTCCGCACCTCCGCACCTCTTACCAGTCTCAACGCGCTTTCTTCACCTTTCTAGTTGTATAATTTCCACTCAGCCAGCTTTCCCTTGGTTCTGGGTGGTAGTTGTTCTGCCATTTAGTTGGAATTTTGGTGTGGTTGTGAGAGGCAGCAAGTATAAGTGATTACCTATACCGCCATCTTCTCCCTCTCTCAAATAAACTCTTATAATAAAAATTCTCTACAAATTTGGACATTTCTTACATCGACAGCACCATAAATTAGGTCTCTAGACCTGGCCGGCGTTGCTCACTGGTTAGAGTGTCACCCTGCACACCAAAGGGTCAAGGGTTCGATTCTGCATCAAGGGCACATACTTGGGTTATAGGTTCGATCCCCACCTCGGTCGGGGCACATGCGGGATGCAACCAATCGATGTGTCTCACATCAGTGTTTCTCTCTCTTTCTCCTCCTCCCTTCCACTCTCTGTGAAAAAGCAATAGAAAAAATGTCCTCAGGCATAAATGTCCTGGGGCATAAAGTCTAAATACTTAGCATAGAGTTCAAGATACAATCGGAAGGAGTACCAACCTATTTGTGCTGATATCCTATCTCCTCAACTTCAAATAAGTAATTGCATCTAAAGGCATGTAAAACTAGCCTTAGCTGGTTTGGCTCAATGGATAGAGCGTCAGCCTGCGGACTGAAGGGTCCCGGGTTCGATTGCGGCCAAGGACACATGCCTGGGTTGCGGCTCAGTCCCCAGTCGGGGGTGTGCAGGAGGCAGCCAACCAATGATTCTCTCTCATCATTGATGTTTCTGTCTCTCTCTCCCTCTCCCTTCCTCTCTAGTCAATAACATATATTTAAATAAATAAATAAATAAATAAAGGCATGTAAAACTAGTGGTGCTTCCCGAACATTCCTTATATCTGTACTGGCTCTTTAGTAGGGTACTACCCCCGTGGGGTCTGTGGAAGTCCTATCTTTAGACTTCAACTCAAATGCAAAGTCCCTGTGAATTATCTCTTGACCACTCCAGGATGAAGTTCAGTCTCTCCTTCTTGTGTAACAGTCGCTGACACTTTCACAATTAAGGACAGTTTGCAGTTTCCTACCACATCGAATTTCTACTTCCCTTACTGTTAGTTTTGCACAAATTCCCATCCTCACCCCACCCCAGGCCAGCTTTAACTGAGGACAGATACACAGAGTCATTTTCATCTGCTCCCAAACCTCAACACAGTCCCGAGGAACTGGACAATATACTAGTACCTGCACCCCACGTCCTCTGCACGCTCTACATTCAACTGCACCTTGTACCTCTCAGGTCCTTGCTTATCAGGAGCTCCCCAGCGGCTTCCACCTGCGTGCCACCCAGTGACCGCAGGAGCATAACTGCCCAGGGCCGCAGAGAGGTGCGGGATGTTGGAGAGGAGACGGGGTTTCACTTCACACTTACATCGGGGCTGTTGAGAGGAGAGTGGGCGCATCCACCCAGACCCCGAGAGTCCAAAGGAGAACACCCCGACCTCCCGGAGAGAAACAGAGCTCTGACTATGCGGACGATCTCAGCCGAAAGGCTCCACACCCGGAGACTGAGTGACTGTCAGCCGGAACTTGAGCTCTGTCTTTCCCACCAGGCGGGACGCTCCACAAGGTGCGGAGCGCAGGACACGTTTGTGAATGAATTTAAATGAAAGAACGTGTGTGGGCACGTCGTCGGCAACAGATAAAATGCGAGGCCCCGTTCAAAGGCCATAACCCAAGCACGGCTTCCTGAGGCTGGAAACCCGACGGGGCTAATGGGAAGGCCGGGGCTAAGGTCGGACACCGAGTAGGGCTGACCCCCGCGTCCCTCCTCTCGGACAGGTGAGGCTCAGCCGCCCGCGGCCCCCGCGCCCCTCACGCCCGCGTCTGCACCTTCATGCCCAGGACATCACGAAAGAAACGCGCCGTCTGGAAGCGGTTTCCCACTTTGAAGACGAAGTGCAGAGCTCGGCGCGTCTCCATGACCAGCAGCTGCACACACCCGTCCCGCACACTGTGCCGCTCCGCCCGCAGAGCCGCTCCGCCCCCAG